ACATGTCATTTCTGCCATAGAAGAGGTCCCAGCTGTCTATGAATGTTACTGCATTTTCCTTAGTGTTTGTCCAGCCAGCAATTAATAACACCAGTTGCCCTGGAAAACTATTCATTACCAACTCTCCTTGGCAAAATGCCACATATCACAGGATTCCCTCCCTTCCTCCTAATTATGTCTATTGCTGACCTTTAACTGCTAATCAGGTCTTACTCCTACGTCTGTCAACGTTATTGCCTCCAGCACAGACAAATAATAGGATTGGTTCCATTACCTCTCATGATGTCGACCAGAGAGCTAACAGTATCCTCCATCCCAGCCACAGAAAAACACACCCTCTGTCTCCTCTTCCTATCTCTAAGACAAAACGCCCTATCCATAAACTTAACCTGACTGTCGCCAAATAAAACAATATTGTTACCTTGACTGGCGGTGTGCATGACGTTCTCGATTGTTTTTATGGAGATGGTCTTCGCTGGGATGTCTTCACTGGTTGGCTTCGCTGTCATTAACAATGGTCTTCACTGGAAGGTCTTGGATGGTCGATATACATTTGTCTGATAACAAGGAAAAAGAGTTGCTGGTTCTCGCAGCAGTCTCTTGGACGCTCTAGTTCCAACTAGCATCCATTCGTTGGTCCGATCATCGACGACGATGTTCCGGTATAATCCCTTCACATACTCTTCAGTCGTTGAATTTCTCTTCTTGCTGCCATTAACTCTGCCTTAAGCTGATGGTATAGCTGCTCATAATCGAGGGAAGTCATCACCACAATCTCAGGTAGCAAAGAACGGAGAGCACACTAGTCACATCTTGACAAAGCAAGGTATACGTACAAAGCAAGGTACACGTACACAGCAAGGTACACGTACAAAGTAGGGTATATGTACAAAGCAAAGTACACGTACAAAGCAAGGTACAGGTACAAAGTAAGGCACACATACAAAGCAAGGTACATGTACAAAGCAAGGTTCTACTTCTCAAGATACTGAAGGAGGAGGTTCTACTTCTCAGTGTTGATGGAGGTTCTACTTCTCAGTGTTGATGGAGGTTCCACTTCTCAGGGTGTTGAAGGAGGTTCTACTTCTCAAGGTGTTGAAGGAGGTTCTACTTCTCAGAGTGCTGAAGAAGGTCCTGCTTCTCAGGGTGTTGAAGGAGATCCTGCTTCTCAGGGTGTTCAAGGAGGAGGTTCTACTTCTCAAGGTGTTGAAGGAGGTTCTACTTCTCAGGATGTTGGAGGAGGTTCTACTTCTCAGGATGTTGAAGGAGGTTCTACTTTTGAAGGTATTGAAGGAGGTTCTGCTTCTCAGGATGTTGAAGGAGGTTCTACTTCTCAAGGTGTTGAAGGAGGTTCTACTTCTCAAGGTGTTGAAGGAGGTTCTACTTCTCAAGGTGTTGAAGGAGGTTCTACTTCTCAAGGTGTTGAAGGAGGTTCTACTTCTCAAGGTGTTGAAGGAGGTTCTACTCTCAAGGTGTTGAAGGAGGTTCTACTTCTCAAGGTGTTGAAGGAGGTTCTACTTCTCAAGGTGTTGAAGGAGGTTCTACTTCTCAAGGTGTTGAAGGAGGTTCTACTTCTCAAGGTGTTGAAGGAGGTTTCTACTTCTCAAGGTGTTGAAGGAGGTTCTACTTCTCAAGGTGTTGAAGGAGGTTCTACTTCTCTAGGTGTTGAAGGAGAAATAATAAGGAACAGGTTATTAGCAGTGAGCAGCAGATTAGCAGCAGTGAGGAGCAGGTTAAAGCAGTGAGGAACAGAATAGCAGCAGTGAGGAGCAGGTTAGAAGCAGTGAGGAGCAGGTTAGCAGCAGTGAGGAGCAGGTTAGCAACAGTGAGGAGCAGGTTAGCAGCAGTGAGGAGCAGGTTAGCAGCAGTAAGGAGCAGGTTAGCAGCAGTGAGGAGCAGGTAAGCAGCAGTGAGGAACAGATTAGCAGCAGTGAGAAGCAGGTTAGCAGCAGTGAGGCGCAGGTTAGCAGCAGTGAGGAGCAGATTAGCAGCAGTGAAGAGCAGGTTAGCAGCAGTGAGGAGCAGTTAGCAGCAGTAAGGAGCAGGGTTAGCAGCAGTGGAGGAGCAGGTTAGCAGCAGTGAGGAGCAGGTTAGCAGCAGTGAGGAGCAGGTTAGCAGCAGTGAGGAGCAGGTTAGCAGCAGTGAGGAGCAGGTTAGCAGCAGTAAGGAGCAGGTTAGAAGCAGTGAGGAGCAGGTTAGCAGCAGTGAGGAGCAGGTTAGCAGCAGTAAGGAGCAGGTTAGCAGCAGTGAGGAGCAGGTTAGCAGCAGTGAGGAGCAGGTTAGCAGCAGTGAGGAGCAGGTTAGCAGCAGTGAGGAGCAGGTTAGCAGCAGTGAGGAGCAGGTTAGCAGCAGTGAGGAGCAGGTTAGCAGCAGTATCAAGTGGAAAGTGGTTTCCAGTTAGGGGAGAAGAATCAAACTAAGGAAGGGTAAAGGAGCATATTCGAAGAAAGGAATTCGCTTTTCAGTTCTCCAGGACGAATATACATGTACTTCAGTGGTCAGTGAGGATAAAGTGCCATCAACTCACGTTAGTCAGAAAAGTGGCAAATGCAGTTCAATGTAGATAAATGCAGAGTTCTAAAGCTTCTGAATGTAAACAACCCCAGTACTTAATAAACTAAATAAGACAGAACTGGTCATACAGAATGCGAAAAGGACTTGGGAGTTATGGTAAGCAGTAACCTGAAGCCAATACAACAGTGCCTAAGCGTGCGTAATAAAGCAAACTGATTACTACAGCTCTACATATCACTGGTAAGGCTTCACTTGAATTATGTAGCTCAGTTCTGGTCTCCGTACTACAGAATGGATCAAAATTCGTTACAGAACATTCAAAGAATGACAAAAATAATCCACTGCATAAGAAATCTTCCTTACGAAGAGAGAATGAGAGGACTTAACCTATATTCTCCTGTAAGACGCAAAATGCAGGATCGATCGCATCTGCTAGAAAAATGACAGGATGGATAATGAGAACCTTCAAAACGAGGGATGCCAAGCCCATGATGACACTCTTCAGGTCACTTGTTCTATCTAGGCTGGAATATTGCTGCACACTAACAGCACCTTTCAAGGCAGGTGAAATTGCTGACCTAGAAAATGTACAGAGAACTTTCACGGCGCGCATAACGGAGATAAAACACCTCAATTATTGGGAGCGCTTGAGGTTCCTGAACCTGTATTCCCTGGAACGCAGGCGGGAGAGATACATGATTATATACACCTGGAAAATCCTAGAGGGACTAGTACCGAACTTGCACACGAAAATCACTCACTACGAAAGCAAAAGACTTGGCAGACGATGCACCATCCCCCCAATGAAAAGCAGGGGTGTCACTAGCACGTTAAGAGACCATACAATAAGTGTCAGGGGCCCGAGACTGTTCAACTGCCTCCCAGCATACATAAGGGGGATTACCAACAGACCCCTGGCAGTCTTCAAGCTGGCACTGGACAAGCACCTAAAGTCGGTTCCTGATCAGCCGGGCTGTGGCTCGTACGTTGGTTTGTGTGCAGCCAGCAGTAACAGCCTGGTTGATCAGGCTCTGATCCACCAGGAGGCCTGGTCACAGACCGGGCCGCGGAGGCGTTGACCCCCGGAACTCTCTCCAGGTAAACTCCAGACATGACTGAAGTGTATAAGTAGATGGGAATAAATAAAGGTTACATAAAGTACAAAAGTATACCTTCAGGAAAGAACTCGAAGTAATGGATTTAAATTGGATCAGTTTAGATTTAAAAAGGATAAAGGAAAGTACTGATTTGGAAATAGAGTAGTCGCTGAATGGAACAAACTGCTAGTCAGGGTCATTGTTATGGCTGGTTTGAAAGGACCTGCTATATGACAGTAACCTGGTGCAGTGTTCTTCCTTTCTTATGTTCATATTTACGAGGGCAGGTTTGAGACCTGGCGCGGGGACGGTGGTCGCCGCAACCACTAACAAATAAAGAAACATTATACTTCAGGAGATGTTTCATATTACAAGACGCAGGCCATCATTATACGGCTATTATTATTATCATTATAATTTTATCAGAGAAGAAGTAGTAGTAGGTAGTGTAGTAGTAGTAGTAAGTAGTAGTAGTAGTAAGTAGTAGTAGTTGTAGTAGTAGTAGTAGTAGTAGTAGTATAGTAGTAGTAGTAGTAGTATGTAGTTTGTAGTAGTAGTAGTAGTAGTAGTATTAGTAGTGTAGTAGTAGTAGTAGTAGTAGTAGTAGTAGTATAGTAGTAGTAGTAGTAGTAGTAGTAGTAGTAGTAGTAGTAGTAGTAGTAGTAGTAGTAGTAGTAGTAGTAATTGTAGTAGTAGTAGTAGTAGTTGTAGTAGTAGTAGTAGTAGTAGTGTAGTATATAGTAGTAGTAGTAGTAGTAGTAGTATGTAGTATAGTAAGTAGTAGTAGTAGTAGTAGTAGTAGTAGTAGTAGTAGTAGTTTTAGTAGTAGACTAGTAGTAGTAGTAGTAGTAGTAGTAGTATTGTAGTGTAGTAGTAGATAAGTAGTAGTATAGTAGTAGTAGTAGTTAGTAGTAGTAGTTTAGTAGTAGTAGTAGTAGTAGTAGTAGTAGTAGTAGTAGTAGTATAGTAGTAGTAGTTAGTAGTAGTAGTAGTAGTCATATAGAGTAGATATAAGTCTAGTAATGTGAAGAATCAGTAGATCAGGAAGTATTGCATTTAAGGAAGCATTATAGTAGTAGGGTATAGTTCAGTGTAGTAGTTGTGATAGTATCTTATAGTAGTTAAGAGGAATTCACTATAGTGATCATAACAGCCCTGGTAATGAAGCATGATCATTGAGCCAAGGAAGAATGCTTAAGGGGAACTTAAATGCGTAGGATCATAAGCATTCAGGCTGAGATCAGAAATTCTGCCAGTACGTTCCAATTCCTTAAACAAGGTCCCTCACCAGCATCCGAATCCCCTTGATCCAGGGAGAATACTCCAGTTCCCTGGACCAAAAGCCAGTGATCTTGGAAGAAATAGAGAAAGGAAGTGTGTAGGACTCACCATATGGTGTGAAGGATGAAGAGGAAGACTCCAGGAACGACCAGGTCGTCTGAACCCACCGACCAGCGCCGCCGGAACACCACGATCCCTGGCATGACTGTCAGCAGGGAATCCTTCCAGTACGTAGGATCTGGCTGGGGCGACTACCCTCTTGAAGAAGTGCTGTTCTTGTTGCTGTTACTGCTGCTGCTGCTTGTAAGTTTCCTTTTTCCTAAGAAAGCTTAAAGTGTAATACTGCTTGAATACTCTTGTAAGCTGAGGAAGAAGTTCAGTGTTGACCTCAGTGGCAGAAGACGAGATAGAATGGAAGCTTAGAAAAGCCGCTTACGGCTGGAAGCTTATTGATTAGTAATTTATTCGCCATTTGGTCGATGAATACTCATTTAGGCTGTATCAACACTGGCTTGTTATGCTTCCCAGATCAATACACACTTGTATGGGGCGTACATCCTCTGCACACACTGCCATTTTTTGACCACACGATAGCAACACGCGGAGTTTCCTACATAGAGGCGCAAGCGCCCAGCTTCTCCCAGCATCTGTAAGTTAACATGGTGGAGAAGGAGCAGAGGAATGACCCTGGCAGCAGGTCAGGAGGTGTCAGAGGGATGGGGGGGTCACAGACACGACACATAGACACACACACAGGGTGGCCTGCGGAGCCCAGCCATGAGGTGTGCTCACCACACTGCCTAACTCAGCACTGAGACACCCAGCCTCCCCCTCAATACCTCCCTCCTACTGCTACTTATCATCCGTAGCGCAGCTGCTGTAGCTGCTTGCTACATGTGCTTAACTAGCTGGTAACACCTGCTGGACAAATTATGGATATAGAGTGTTGGCGAGGTGTAGGGAAGAGTAGTTGTGGCCCTGGCACCACTTGGCACTGCTACCCCCCCCTCTCCTCCCCTTCCCTCCACCCTCCCACCCAGCTCACTCGTCAGAGGGGTAGTGTCGCTCCCCCTCCCCCCGCCACTGTTCATTTGTTTGTTAGTTCGTTGGCAGCAGGATGCCGGACGGTGCCAAACGCTACTCGCGTTATTTGGGAATGTTTATGCAGGTTGAGGGCGAGTTTTTCCACATTCACGTGTGTAGGCGCGCGCACTCATGCATATACACACACACACAACACACACACACACACACACACACACACACACACACACACACACACACACACACACACACACACACACACACACACACACACACACACACACACACACACAGGATGTTCCAGAGATAGGACACAAAAACAAGGGGTCACAATTGGAAGCTGAAGACTCAGATGAATCTAAGGGATGTTAGGAAGTATTTCTTCAGCCACAGAGTTGTTAGGAAGTGGAACAGTCTGGCAAGCGATGTAGTGGAGGCAGGAACTATACATACCGGCTGTATCCCACCGAGGCAGGGTGGCCCAAAAGAAAAAACGAAAGTTTTTCCTTTTACATTTAGTAATATATACAGGAGAAGGGGTTACTATCCTCTTGCTCCCGGCATTTCAGTCGCCTCTTACAACACGCATGGCTTACGGAGGAAGAATTCTGTTCCACTTCCCCATGGAGATAAGAGGAAATAAACAAGAACAAGAACTAGTAAGAAAATAGAAGAAAACCCAGAGGGGTGTGTATATACTATATGCTTGTACATGCATGTGTAGTGTGACCTAAGTGTAAGTAGAAGTAGCAAGACGTACCTGAAACTTGCATGTTTATGAGACAGAAAAAAAAGACACCAGCAATCCTACCTTCGTGTAAAACAATTACAGGCATCTGTTTTACACTCACTTGGAAGGATGATAGTACCTCCCTGGCGGTTGCTGTCTACCAACCTACTAGCCACGGGGACGATGACCCCCAAAACATCCTCCAGGTATATAACATACAATTTACTAGTAGCAGTATTTTATTAATATTATTCTTTGGATGAATTAAAAACCATTATTTATGATATTTTATTTTCGTCATATTAAAAAAAATGAAAAGCAAAAAAATTTATTTAGACCCTGAGTCTCTTCCGCCTACCTGCGTAACAGATGTTAACAGATTACCATCGTCTAAAGTTATTACAGACAACAGTACCCTGAAGCTATTATTAACAACACACAGTACCTGAAGTTATTACTGACAAGAGTGCTTGAAGTTATTATTGACAACAGTACCTGAAGTTATTATTGACAACAGTACCTGAAGCTATTACTGACAACAGTACCCAAAGTTATTACTGACAACAGTACCTGAAGTTATTACTGACAGCTCTACCCTTGAAGTTATACAAACAACAGTACATTGAAGTTACTACATTCAACAGTACCCTGAAGTTGCTACAGGCAACAGTACCTTGAAGTTACCACAGACATACCCTGAAGTTACTACAGATAACAGTATCTTGAGGTTACCACAGACATCAGTATCCTGAAGTTACTACAGACAACAGTATCTTGAGGTTACCACAGACATCAGTATCCTGAAGTTACTACAGACGACAGTATCTTGAGGTTACCACAGACATCAGTATCCTGAAGTTACTACAGACGACAGTATCTTGAGGTTACCACAGACATCAGTATCCTGAAGTTACTACAGACGACAGTATCTTGAGGTTACCACAGACAACAGTACCCTGAAGTTACTACATAAAACAGTATTCTGAAGTTTCTACAGACAATACCCTGAAGTTACTTCAGAAAACAGTACACTGAAGTTACTAAAGACAATAGTACCCAAAATTTATCACAGACAACAGTACCCTGAAGTTGCTAAGGACAACAGTAGCCTGAAAATACCACACACAACAGTACCCTGAAGTTACTACAGACAACAGTACACTGAAATTACCACAGACAACAGAACCCTGAAGTTACTACAGACAACAACACCCCCAAATTATCACAGACAAGAGTACACTGAAGTTGCTACAGACAACAGTACCCTGAAGATACCCCAGACAACAGTAGGTTCAAATTACTACAGACAACAATACATTGAAGTTACCACCAACAACAGTACCCTGAAGGTACCATAGACAAAAGTACCATGAAGTTACCACAGACAAAAGTACCCTGAAGTTCCTACAGACAGTAGTATCCTGAAGTTAGCACAGATAACAGTACCCTGAAGTTATTACAGATAACAGTACCCTGAAGTAACCACAGACAACAGTACCCTGAAGTTACTAAAGACAACAATACCCCGAAGTTATCAGAGACAAGAGTACCCTGAAGTTGCTACAAACAACAGTACCCTGAAGTAACCACAGACAACAGTAGCTTGAAGTTATCACAAACAACAGTAATCTGAAGTTATCACGGACAACGGTACCCTCAAGTTACTACAGACAACAGTACCCTGAAGTTTCTACAGACAACAGTACCCCAAAGTTATCACGGACAACAGTACCCTGAAGCTAATAGAGACAACAGTACCCCGGAGTTATCACAGACATGAGTACCCTGAAGTTACCACAGACAACAGTACCCTGAAATTAATACAGATAACATTATCCTGAAGTTACCACAGACAACAGAACCCTGAAGTTACTACACACAACAGTACCCTAAAATTAACACAGACAAGAGTACCCTGAAGATACTACAGACAACAAAACCCTGAGGTTGGTACAGACAACAATGCCTTGAAGTTACCACCGACAACAGTGCCCTGAAGTTACTACAGACAAAATTACCCTGAAGTTTACACAGACAACAGTACCCTGAAATTAATACACACAATACAACCCTGAAGTTACCACAGACAACAGTACCCTGAAGTTACTACAGTTAACAGTACCCTGAAGTTACTACAGACAACAGTACCCTGAAGTTACTACAGACAACAGTACCCTGAAGTTACTACAAAAAAATACCCTGAAGTTATCACAGGCAAAAGTACACTGAAGTTACTACATACCACAGTAAACTGAAGTTACTACATACCACAGTAAACTGAAGTTACTACATACCACAGTACCCTGAAGTTAACACAGACAAGAGTTCTCTGAAGTTACTACAGACAACAATACTCTGAAGATACCCCGGACAACAGCACGTTGAAGTTACTACATGAATTTACCACTGAATTTACTACTGAATTTACCACAGACAACATTACCCCGAAGTTGTCACAGACAAGAGTATCTTGAAGTTACTGCAGACAAAGGTACCCTGAAGTTAGTTATCAGACAACAGTACCCTGAAGTTAATACAGACAATACAACCCTGAAGTTACCACAGACAACAGTACCCTGAAGTTACTACAGATAACAGTACCCTGAAGTTAGCATAGACAACAGTACCCTGAAGTTACTACATACAACAGTACCCTGAAGTTTACACAGACAAGAGTACCCTGAAGTTACAATAGACAACAGTACCCTGAAGTTACTACAGACAACAATACCCTGAAGATAACCCAGACAACAGTACGTTAAAATTATTACAAAGAACAGTACCCTGAAGTTACTACAGACAACAATACACTGAAGTTACCACCGACAACAGTACCTTGAAGTTACTACAGACAAACGTACCCTGAAGTTAACACAGCCAACAGTACCAGAAGGTAATACACACAATACAACCCTGAAGTTACCATAGACAACAGTACCCTGAAGTTACTACAGACAACAGTACCCTGAAGTTACTACAGACAACAGTACCCTGAAGTTACTACAGATAACAGTACCCTGAAGTTACCACAGACAACAGTGCCCTGAAGTTACTACATACAACAGTACTCTGAAGTTAACACAGACAAGAGTACCCTGAAGAAACCGCAGACAACAGTACATTGAAGTTACTACAAAGAACAGTACCCTGAATTTACCACAGACAACAGTACTGTGAAGTTACCACACCCTACACCCATCACCAACATACTGCAAACTTGGTTCGTATAAATACATCTTGCATATTACTGACACCAGCAAGAGAAAGGTAAAGTGGAAATCGGTTTTCTTCCATGGCATACAGAGTGTAGTAGGATACAGACAGGATGTCAGCACAGCATATCTGTGGGACATGTAAAAAAAAATCCTTGGAAGAAAATCCAGAATCACTTGCAATCTATGCTTTTCCAAACACCATATCTCTTGTACTAGACTAAATACAGACTCAAAAAATGACCTCGACTAGCAAGGTGTTTCTGGTTGTGCAATAAAGATGTAGAACTTTGGGCAGGTATCAGAAAGGTACTAAGGTGAGTAATAAATGATAAAAATAATCAAGAAAACAAAGATGACCTCTTGGATAGTCTACCAAAAATATATAAAACATGAGAGCAAGAGATAGTGTATCAAAAAATGCAGAATGTCCATACCACAACAGATGACTCGAAACTATCTAGTCACCCACATGGAGCTAAGCCAGACCCATCCCCCAGTCATAGCACTAATACCCACAGTGCTGGTGCTGGCCCAGGCTCAACCCCCAGCTCCAGTGCTGACTCAGACCCAGCCCCCAGCCTTACTGCCAGCCCAGACTCTACTAGGGACCCTACCACAACCACCACTAAAACCGTAAATATACAACCATCATTGCACAAAACCGTGGCCCACAGTACAGATGTTGGAGAGGAGTCTCCTCCTTCTTCCTCTACTGAGGAAAGTAGATGGAATCCAGGACGGGGTGGCCCTGGCTTGGATACTGAGGATTATAGCGCAGTCCCAGAACTTGCAGAAATTGACAACACACCTCCCAACAATTCTCAACCAAAGGTGAATT